ATCGATCTGGCTGGAGAAGAAGACTTATAGTTTGAATGTTCTGGAATTGCAGAATCCAAATTTATTTCCTCATCTGTAGGCTCTTGTTTTATTTCAACAATCGGCAGCTTTTTAATTTTCTTATGACTTTTTATATTGCGATATCGACACTCTACGCTGACATATGTCTCGCTTTTACGACGTGAGCGGCTACTCTTCCGACGTCCCCTTGGTTCTTTATTATTCTCATCGTCTGAAAGACAAAAAATGTGTTAGGTGTTTGAAATAGTCTTTATTAGATCAATTTTATTGAAACGATTAAGGTAAATCAGTCTACAGTAATGCCAGAAAAACTACTGAGAGGCCTAAGAAATATTTTCCTTAGTCAAAAGAATTTAAGAAACCTTCACATGAACAATTATTCTGTGTCAATAGAAATATACCAATAGTCCACAAACTGGAAAACCGGATTTACAATTTTACCGAATTGAATTTCGGATGTCTTACATTTTTTATTCTATGCTGATAAAATTTTACTGGGAAAAAGATTTTAGTTTTAGATAAGGTTTCATGGTCAAACAGATAAACCCCCATATAAATCAATATCGAATCTCTCCACTATGTTGATACGCTACTAAATTAAACTATCCAAAGGCACCTGTTTTTAAAGGATTAACCTAATCTCTTTTCTAAGTTTTAATACAAGAAACTTTCCCACCTTTAAAAACATAAATATATATACTGTAAATACAATATTTTTCCAATATCAAAATGTCAGCCTTTGTCAGTAACAAGATTACAAGATCGAGCCACTTATCCTACACTTATCTCCATTCACTTAAAATACCTACCTTTGCATGGTCGCCATTGTTTAAAGTATTCATATTTAAGACAATTATCCCCCACCACAAAAAATTTTATATACTACGGGGAAATATTTGTTAGGAACCACAGAATAGAGTCTAACGCCTAAAATGTCCCTAATTATAAAGAAACTTCCTTTTCTATGCTAGTTTCTTGCCGAGATACTGTGTACTATAAAATCTGTATGGACTTTGGAACCAGTAATACAGATAATCATAAATAATGGAAATAAACGCTATCAGCAATCTGACACATACTTTCTCCCATCAGCTTTGCCAACAACCCTTATCAAACGGGTCAAACGGGAGTAAGTATGGTATTTTTATTTTTTTAATAATTTGCAAAAACCCTAGAAAAGTAATTTTTACAGCAATGGGAGTTGTAACATTCTGTTTTAAATTATAAGAATCATAAACTACTAAGCTTAAATGAAAATTGGTAAAGTTTATTTTAAATCAGATTTTTTTGTTATTTTATGAGATTTTCCATGGAAAAATCACATAAGTTACAATAGCTTTTGAACCGTAATTTTTCAGCAATGGGGGATGTACCGGTACTGTATTGTTTAGAGTTAGAAGCAGAGGCGGCCCTACATAAAGGCGAACAAGGCGTCCCCTGGGGCCCTGCGCTTCTCAGGGGCCAAAGCAGTATTTCAGGTATTAAGAGAGGCTCGCTATTGAACTTCGCCTTGGGCCCTGCAATCTCAAGGGCCGGCACTGGAGAAGACTATAACATAGGCCTACCACAGTTTCAATCAAAATTGGTCAGTTCTTTTTATCTCATTTTTTAAATTTCATTTTTCTGGAAAAATTTACAGCAGTTGAGGTGATACCATCTTGTTTATATAGTCAAGAGACTATAACATACTAAATTTTAATCAAAACCAATTGGGCCATCTTAGAAAAAATTGATTTTTCTGTTATTTTATAAATAATACTATTAAAAATCAAAATTAAAAAAAAACCTAAATAAATATAGATACTAATACTATAGATTAGTACCCACACATCAAATTAAAAAAAAATCAGACCACGGTTCTGCACACATTCATGTACAAACACACTTGCACACACGACTTCAAAAATAGCTTTTATGGGTTCGGTTTGATCAATTACAGAGCAAGGCATCGTAATTTGTTGGTTCAAAATCCCATAGGGTGTTCTATTTATGACAAGTTTGTCCGTCTGGCAGATCTTGGTGAAAGCAGAGGCCCACCTAGTGGAAGTTGCCTGCTTGAGTACCTATATTCTTTAGGCTTTATGAATTGCTTTGTACCTTTGAGCAAGCAAGTGTGATTAAATCTATAAAAGTAAAATTGTAAAAAAATAACAAAATTATTAGCAAAAATATTTGCAGTCATCTATTTCTGCAAATGTGCTGGTATATTTGTGAACTACATTTTGAGACAGGCAAGTTTTTAATGTTTTAATTTGACATATTTTAAATTACTTCTTAGTTATACTGAAGTTGAAAATGCTTAAAATATAATAAGTTACATATAGTAAAAAATCAATCAAAAACTTGTTTAAAGAGAAATATGATTTTTAGGTGGAAGGTCGGTAAAGTGATATATTAGAAATATAGTAAAAAAAACCAATCAATGTGTTATCCAAAGGGTTCACAGGGTTGAAAAAATTAACATTAATAGTAGAACTTCATTTTTAATCTCAGACTAAATAACTAAAACTACCCTGAGTGACAAAAATATACAATGGCCTGCACATTTAATTATTCATAATCAAATAACATCTAAAGCTGTTATAACTCACTGTAGATACAAAACTAAGTAAATACTATATTGCCATAACCATTTCAAACCTTTCTGGATTTAATATTCAAATCGTAAAAAAAAAAAAAATTCTAAACCAGGAATTGACCAAGACACTCTCTAGTTATTTCTAGATAACAAACGCGTTACAACAGACTTATCTAAATTACGTTGAGTAGATATACAATTTCTACAGTCAATTCTATACAGGACTTTTTATTTTGAATTACAATCATAAGGCTTAATACAGACAAAGAAAGTTTGCATATAAGGTATTCAAATACACCAATAAATTGTTACATATTCAAATATTCACACACAATAAAAAATACTCTTATTTCAAAATATACATAAAATTGGTGGCCAAGCTTAATCGAAGAAAAGGGTAATAAATGGTGCAGTTATTGGAAAATGTGCAAACTACTAAAACATGTTTAGTTTACACCTAAAGTGAGGAAATGTCAAATACCAATCCTATGCACTTAACTAAAAGATTAATATTTTAAAACACCAAAGATTTCTAGTAATGAAATAACACCCACTAGGTGCCTTTGTTGTAGAAGCAAAGAGGAAATTTAAACTGTGTAGCAAAAGTGGTATAACGGCAAACAATGGTAAAAATGTAAAAGTTTGATAAAGTATACAAATGCTTTAATCAAATATATATATATATATATATATCTTACTATCCTACAAAAAATATTACAGATTTGCTAATCTACTACTCACTTCACTGTGAGACAAAAATATATTCAAATAGTTCACTCCATGTAAGAAATAAACCACAAAACCAAAAATACATAAACACCTCTATTCAGGAGTAACACTAATTTTAAAGAATGATACTCAATGCTTCAACAACCGCATTACTCTTGTTCACTAGTGCTAGTTTGTGATTGCTTTAAAAACCGCATTACATAATGGGCGGCATACCACTTAGGAAATGCTTGTTCGTGATGGACACGAACGTGTTCTCGTATTCCGTGACGATAACGAAACTTGTTGGGACAGTATGGGCATGGGAACTGAGGTTCTACATTGCACTCAAGTTTTTGATGTTGCCTCATTCCTCTCAAATACTTGTAAGATTTCCCACATTGGTCGCACTTGAAGCCCTTACCAACGGCTTTAAAAGTGCGCTTGCGTTTCTTTTTCAAGTTTTTATTAGGAGCTGTGGATGTGGAAGGTTTATGTTTTATATCTTTAACTCTAATTTTTTTTGCTTTCTTGATAACAGCTAATTTTTCTTTCTCTGATTCAGTTTCATCACCATTGACAGTCGTGTCCTCCTCTGCCTTTGTCACAATCTTTCCTACTTTTGGTTTAGTAGTGGTGGTTGAGCCAGCTTTTTCCTTCGGCGGCTTCTTTGTTTGGAGTTCATCAGAGGGTTCTTCTTTAACGGCATATTTCTGCCAGACAAGAGAAGCTCGGCTCTTGGTCGTGCGAGGTTGACTAACGCGAACAGGTGTAAGTTCTGGCTTCTTGAGTCCTTCTTTTTTCATCGGTGAACTGTTTTTAGCTGAACTACAAATCTTCTTCGGTGAACTGAATCCAAGGAATGGAGTTGGGGAGATTGAAAGATCAGGGACAATTTTTTGTTTGTCTTCTGTCACTTTTTCATTATCTGAAAGCAAAATAAGTGTCAGAAGAAATATGGATGAAGAGTGTATTTATCCAAGTTTATAAAGATAATCACCTAAACATTATCAAAGGAATGGATTATTTTTTACTGGAGCTTTTAAGCACCACCCCATTACCAACACCAACTTTGAAATTACTTTATTCTTAACTTTTTTTGTTGTATATGAAATAAACTTAATTTTGATTAAGTAAACTTTCAACTTACAGTAACTTGTGTACAAATATGATCATATACATGATATGATTATATATATATGTATATATATCGGTAGTAATTCAATAACTACGATCTAAGAATTCAAACTTTGATATCATTAGTCAAGTAGAACAATAATACAACTCTAGATACTTATCCTTACATATATTAAAAATTTGTAAAATAAATAATGTGGTAAAAGGGGATTATAAAAAAACCAGTTTCAAACAATATAATATTTATTGAAAACTACAGCTGTCCCCCTAAAACAGAGGAAATGGTTTTGGGACAAACAACAAAAAAGTTGTACTGTAATTTTATTCTGACAGAAAGCTAATTTTTAAGATAAAAAAAATGGTCAAGCAATGATAGAGTGTTTTAACAAATAACTGACAAAATGTTTACTCTATGATCAATGTGTTGTAGCTCTCCTTTTCTACAGAAGCTTTATATGCATCACAACCTCATGCACTCGCCCAGTACAAAACTAGGGTCATAGTCAAGTTAACATTCCAAAATTGGGACGAAATAGGTGAATAATACACTTGTGCGTTATATTATAAAGTCATATATTAATATAACAATCAAAAAAGATACCGCTAATGTTCTAGAAAAGTAATACAAACATTTTAATGTACTAAACTCACAAAGAAATCAACCTACCATTGCTACTGTATCAGTTGACACTTTTTAACATAAATACATTATTTTTTATGTCCCACCTTCACAACCTGAGACGCACAAAGATAAACAATAACATACCATTAAAAATGTATTCAAAGAAATAAATAAGTTAATGCTGTGTGATGGGAATACAATAATTCCAATAAGGTATACATTACAATCAACATTTACCATACAAGAAAACAATTATAAAACCTTAATACCAATATTGTAGAAAACAGAATCTTAGAAATAACTACCTTAAATGGATAATATTTACAGTTACATGTTTTACATAATTTTTATGTTTTACTTCAATGCTCGTTTCTTAAAGTTCTAACAACACTGTAAAAATCTCAACAAAAACTGGATTGTGGAAGAATTACTAAATACAAAATTGTAAATATAAATTTAATAGCGTAAGGTCCACAACTTAAGTTTTATTTGTGGAGCTAACAATCTGAAAAATGATTACAAAAGAGTAATAATAATACATTAACAATAATATTAATTATAATAATTATAGGATTCAGAAAACAACTAATCAATATTGCATAAAAGCATCAGTCTAAGCAATGTTAACACTGTCTTTATACGCTAAATACATGTTATAAGGCTAAAAAAGAGAAACATATCGAAAATCAACTTGGAAAAAGACTAGAAAAATAAGCAATTATCAACGTAAAGTTCAAAATTGAGAATCAGGTCTGTCTATGGACTTAAAATTTTTCAAACAGTTTTAAGTAAAAATCAAACAAGGTTAATATGGTTCCAATACTTGATAGTCACTAACTTGGCACAGAAATTACATTACAACCAATGCCCATAACCAGAAGGTTTTTCCTTCTTTGTCTTTAAATGGTCGTACATCAGTTACATGCTAATACAAAAAGTTTACTGTATTTAATTTCAAATAAAGGTCTATGTTTTGCCATAAGTTTTTAACGTAGAAAACCAAATATTTTAAGTGTAAGTTTTGAATGGGCCCAGAAAAATCAAGAATAATCGCCAATAGCCCATAACCAAGCCCCAATTAATTAACAGTGATTTGTTGGTTATTTTTTAAGGTCTTCATTAATGGAACACCTCTTCTTGTAGTCATGTAGTAAACAGAATGTGATCTTGGAAGACTATCAAGGTAGCGCTGGAATTGTGAAAAATTGTCACGATATTGTTTTGATAGCAGGAGATAATCACAATATTGTCGCTATTGAAGGAGCAGCTTAACAAAATATTGTTTATTATCTATCTGATTAATTTCCAGGCTGATTCAAACAGTTGAGTAATCCGAACTGTTCCTGGTCCCACCTATTTTGGATTAGCAGAATTCGGTTGTAAAACAAAATGATTTACATACCATTTTGGGTAGGCCATCGGATGTTTGCTATTTACGTGATCCTTTATAGCATGACGATATCTATATTGTGCAGGACAATAAGGACAAGGGAACTGAGGTGGGATGTTACATTCCAAGCGTAAATGTTGCCTTAAACCTCGCAAATAGTAATATTTCTTTCCACACTGTTCACATTTAAAGTTAGGTTTTCCACCATGTGCTTTTGGTTTTTGGAGTGTTTTTAATTTTGCATTGCTATAGGGCTTAGTTACTGCATTTGAAACAGAAGGCTCACTTTTTATATTTTCCTCTGGGATTGATACGGATGAGGTGTTTTCTGCTTTTACTGTGTTCTTTTCCAAGTGCTTTTTTTGCACTTTTTTCTGACCTGTCTTTAGTTCTTCTTCGGAAACATATGGCTCATTTTTTATTGATTTCTCTGGTATTGATACAGATGAATCAGTCTTAACGGTTATCACCGCATTTTTCCTTTTTCTACCTCGTTTTTGTCCTATCCTGTTGAGTTTTGTTTTTGAAACAGATGGCTCACTTTTTATCGTTTTCTCTGACATAGATATAGAGGAATCTGCAATTTCTGTTTCCATCGTACTTTCTTGATCAGTGTGTTTGGTTACTTGACTACTGCTCATCGTCTTCAAGAGATGAGCGGATACTTTGTTGTTCCATTGCGCCCAATTTCGTTTTCTATACTTCCTCTGATAGAGGTAGTTTGTTACTTCATCAGCAACATATAAAAGGTTAGGTCTTGTTCTTTTTCTAAACGATCTTCTCCTATTCGCACCATTTTCTGTTTTCTGTGACTCCTCACCTGCTGCTACTGCAGAGGGGTTGACTACATCAGTTCCTTGTGTTTGGATATCCTGTTTCATATTTTCCCCGGGTTTAGAACTCTTTAATATTTGATCAACATTTACTAGCTTCACAGGAGAGAGTTCAACCAAATAATTTCCTTTTTCATCACAACAACGGATACCTGTGGGATGCTCTGTTTTAGACAAATCTTGATCCTGACAGCTAATACTACCTTCCCTTGTACCTTCATTTTCATATAGGTCTACAGGCAATGGAACATAGACACTTTCAAACGCATTTGAATCCTCATTTAGGTTGGCATCTACAGGAGATTGTGGTATGCTGCTTTCATCTTCAAAAGTAACAGATGCATTTAAATCCAAAAATGTGTTTTCTGCTGAAGGAATCGGCACTGCAACCATTGACTGTGTTTCTGTTTCTTGCAAATCTGGTTCTTCTAGAAGAGATTTTACAGATGAAATTATCATTCTGCATTCTGGAAACAAAATATAAATATGTTATAGTTTAAATATCTTCTTATGCTCAAATATGCATGTATCTGTAATAAATAACAACTATACTACTTGTCAAAACTCAACTGACGTTAAATTACAGTAATCCCATTATTAAGGAGAAAACTAACTCATAGTTGTAGGACAAGAAGAAGAAATAGTAAGGTAGTATGTGGTAGGAACGCCACTTTGAACACACAATAAAACTGACAAAAATAATCACAGATCAAAAATCATCAATAAAAACTTTTTACTTTGGTTTCCGAGTGGTATAAACAGTAAAAAAACAAATCCATGTTTTTAATCTTCCGTCTGTTCCATCCTGTTCTCTACGGTTGTAATTAAAGAAAATGGCAAATATAAAACTCACACCAGTAGCAAAAACAACAAGTTTAAACCTTTTCTAACTTTACACACTAACTTTTATTGATTTTTAGTTGAAGAAAATTGCAATCTTCTCTATTAATTATTTAAGTGTATTGCTTAGTGAAAGAAAAATCAATAGGATAAAAGGGTTAATGAACAGATCATAAGGTTTATGAATATTTATTTTGTAAACAAGTGACACATTATTCTGTGCTCATTTTACAAGTGTGACATAAAAAATCACTGCAGCTTCACCAACTCCTGGATTAAGCATGCCTCTGCATGTTTGACAGCGTAATGTCTCTGTAGATGTACCTTCTGTTTAGCCTTATAACTGCACACTGGACATGCGTATTGAGGCTCTACACCACAGTCCGTCTTCTGATGTAGGCTGAGTGACCGTTTGTATTTATAAGTCTTTCCACACTGACATATAAACACGCCAGGTCCATCTCCAACTGAAAAATACTATTGAGTATTAGAATATTCTCCACACCTACACTGCCTATTTTTCTGAACTCGCTTTTACTGTTTCTAATTTTTATTAAATTGATAGAAATAAATATTTTCCTTCAGTAGAAGAAAAAAAAAACAAAACAAAACTATAAGATGCTTGAATGTAACAAAATAACCTTGCACTTATTTTTCTAATATAAATGTGATGGCTCTAACACTGAAGAGTGTGTTTTTAACCTAAAATTGTTCCTATTTTTTGTGACAATGCAAATTATATTTAATCAATTATCTATGATTTTTTTTTCATTTTAGTTTACTTACAAATTATGACTATAATCAGGGCCGTCCGAAGGGGGGGGGGGGGGGCAACCGCGGCATATTTGTATCAACGTAGTATCAAAAATATGCGAATGCGACTATTACTGGTGGGAAAAGGGGGTGCCACGACCATGTTTGCTCCGGGCGCCGCCAACCATGGGACGGCCCTGCTATAATTAAGACTTGAGTGCGTATTTAAGCTGAGTGTGAGTAAAATGTAGTGAGATGATCTGCGAACTATGTTGCTGACTAAAATTAGGTTTTTTTTAGCTAGAACCATTTTCTAGCCAAATGATTAAGGACAGCTGGATCTAGTTTCTAGCCTTCAAAAAGCTACTGACTTTTCTCAGGTTCAGACCATCTTAATAAGTGAGCACTGTAGCTATTCAGCTACAGTGATGTTGAATTAAAATACAATTTACTCAGTAATATATTTTTTATTTTAGTAGGTACCAAATGGGAATTGAGGATAAAAACCTCCATCAGCTAATCAATCTTGTGAGGAACTAGGGCTGCTGTAGGAGACTTCGGTGCCACAAAGCAGAGCATTATAGATCTTGTAGATTGCAGCACATCTTCCTTGCGGTGCTAACAGTATCAATACCACGTTTTGTGATAAATGCTTATGCTTAAGCTTTAAACAACCTAAAACTTAAATATTCTAATGTAATAGTTAAAGACGTTCACTATCCCAATAGCATTAAATTTTTCATTGATATGGACCAGCGATGCACATATTGAAATAATAAATACCATAGTAGGCCTACCCTGTTTAAAATCATTTTATTTTTTAAATTAATTTAAACAGGGTAACATGGTGTTTATTAAAAAAGTATCCCTAAACAGTGATTAGAACTAAAAAGAAATATACGCTTTTAATGTATTTTGTATCACTGATTAAATGAGCTTACTTCAACTATTTTAAATGTAATCTATTTTTGTATTTGAGAAAAATTGAATGATGATAAATTAAGTTTTCCTTTAAGCTTTTAACATTTTAAGTTTTAATGAGTTGGAGATTCAAAATAAGCACGAGCAGCACTCCAAGAAGTAATACAATCAGGTTTTTTCTGACACTTCTTTCAATTTTTTTATTTAGGAGGCCTACTATTTTTGTATAAAATACATTATATAATTATATTATACATTATATTTTACTAATTGGTCCAAACGACTTCTGTGATCGGGGCAAAAAAGAACGATATTATTCTCGGTGAAGACAAAATCGTAAGCGTCCGTGTTTGTGGGGTTGTAATCTCTGTCTCCCGCGGTCGCGCGGCTTATCTCCGAGACCGCGGAGCAATCTTTAACATGTCCTATGTTTACGGTGGAATAGTGAACATCTTTTGCGGACTCTGGGATATATTTGACATGCCGAAATCGTTAACATCTCCAGCGAACGCTTGGACTTAAATATATGTCACATAGGTCTATTCTCTGCGGGATTGTACCTGTGGTGTAAAAACCCGCCAAATGCCTGATAACCAGAAAACTAGTTAACCTAATGATTTAAGTTAAGCTAACCTAATAAAGCGTTGGGTTTAGGTTAAATAAGATTAACTTAATTATAAGGTTTTTTGTGTACTTTGGAACTATCCGGAGGCCACTTATTTTAAAAGGATTTCATTTACCGAGGACCAAAAATAACTAAATAATGGGAATGAACAAACTTTTATCAACTTACTGTCCATATTAGACATGATTATGATTAGCGGCCTTTGAGTTCTGCCTCGACGAGGATTGAGTTGAATGTGTCCACGCTGCTAGCTGCTACATGTACATAACCGCCAGGTATTTAGCATACTGCAGCGATTATGTTAGGTCGGGTTATCATAATAATGTTTGTAAGACTCAGGGCCCTAGCACGACAATCAACAAAGCGTTGGATTCGGTTAGATTGGTTTAGGTTCTAGGTTAACTAGAACCTGAGTTAACCTAGCCAAACCCGGCACTTTGTTAGGTAAGGTCAGGTCAGGTAAAGTTAGCCTTATATTATGAGATTGTTGTATTGTGAGATATGGGTGGACTCAGGGTCCTAGAACGTCAATAACAAATCCTAAAAGATCAACAAAGCGTTGGGTTTGGTTAGGTTGGATTAACTACAAACTAACTTTCACCAAACCAAACCCAACAGGTATAAGATTAGGCCAAACTAGTTTTCAGGTTATCAGGGTTTGTCAAGCTTTTGAAAAGTTATTAGTTTACAGTTGAATTCGCCGTGAATTCTGCATGAGTAGGCCTACCCACAACTAATGGGCAAATAAGCTAAAATGTTTCTGCTTTTCCAGAAAAAAATTGCTGAGTTTTGAATTCAGAGCTAGGCCTATAAAAATATATATAAATACGTTAAATAATCATCAGCCTAAGTTGTAACTAACGTTCTAGCGTCAGGTTGAACCAAACTAGTTTTCAGGTTATCAGGGTTTGTCAAGCTTTTGAAAAGTTATTAGTTTACAGTTGAATTCGCCGTGAATTCTGCATAATAAGAGTAGGCCTACCCACAACTAATGGGCAAATAAGCTAAAATGTTTCTGCTTTTCCAGAAAAAAATTGCTGAGTTTTGAATTCAGAGCTAGGCCTATAAAAATATATATAAATACGTTAAATAATCATCAGCCTAAGTTGTAACTAACGTTCTAGCGTCAGGTTGAAGTTCGGCATTAATACCTGAAAATTTAAAAAACATCAGTAGACCTAGGCCTATCAACTTTTGTTTTTATAAATCCCTATCGCCTTAGACCCTATAATTGTTATTAAGTTAATAGGCTCTAAGGGCACACTTCCATATCTGTTGGCATAAACAACCGAATGAAAATATCGATCGATATATCGATTGTTCGATATATCGTTTGGTTAGTTAGGTAAGGTTAACCTAACCTAACTAACCAAACGATATATCGAATTAAACAATTGAATAATCAATATTACTCATTCAGTAGTTTGTACCAACAGATATGGAAGTGTACCTGGCTCTAACTTACCTATCATAAGTTAAGCTAAGTTAAAACCAAGCCAAACTTGAAAGAGTCTTCTTGAAAAGAACCTAACTTAAAACCCTAACTTAGGCCTAAGGCTTAAAATGTTGGTATTTGTTTACTTTGGGGCATTCTAACATGTTGCAAAAAGAATTTGTCTCATTGTTTGGCCTATTTTGAACACTTTTTACATTTGGCGCAAACGACTAATTTCACCCTGAAAAACACGTTTAAAAATAGCAAAAATGCTAAAAATCAGCGTTAATTGTTATGTTATTATGTTATTAACTTTTAAGTTATTTTTTAGGCTATACTTTTAATGTGTTTTTACTATTATTTATGACATTTTAAATACTTTTTACCTCTGGCACTTTTTCGGCAACTGCCCCGTTTTTAAACAGAAAATCGAGTTAGAAATTTCATAAAAACTGCAAAGACCTGAAAATGCCCGGTCCACTCCTTTACCTAAATACAATCTAATCCAACCAACCTAACCTAACTTAGCCTAACCTTGGTAACAAATAATCCGTCAGTTTCGGCATTGCTAACCTAAGCATGGGTTAGGTTGGTTTAGGTTAGTTAAGGTTAAGTAGGCCTAGGTTAGGTTGGATTAAGTTATATCCTAAGTTAGTTTGGTAAAGGAGCGGGCCGGGCATTTTCGGCACTTTGTGGTTTTTTTGATTTTTCAAACCTGGGTAAAAACGGCAGTTGCCGAAAAAGTGCCAGAGGGGAAAAGTCAAATGTCCTAAGTAGGCCTAGGCCTAAATTAATAGTAAAAACACGTTATTGAAAGAGTCTTCTTGAAAAGAACCTAACTTAAAACCCTAACTTAGGCCTAAGGCTTAAAATGTTGGTATTTGTTTACTTTAGGGCATTCTAACATGTTGAAAAAAGAATTTGTCTCATTGTTTGGCCTATTTTGAACACTTTTTACATTTGGCGCAAACGACTAATTTAACCCTGAAAAACACGTTTAAAAATAGCAAAAATGCTCAAAATCAGCGTTAATTGTTATGTTATTAACTTTTAAGTTATTTTTAGGCTATACTTTCAATGTGTTTTTACTAAATTATTTATGACATTTTAAATACTTTTTACCTCTGGCACTTTTTCGGCAACTGCCGTTTTTAAACAGAAAATCGAGTTAGAAATTTCATAAAAACTGCAAAGACCTGAAAATGCCCGGCCCACTCCTTTACCTAAATACAATCTAATCCAATCTAACCTAACTTAGCCTAACCTTGGTAACAAATAATCCGTCAGTTTCGGCATTGCTAACCTAAGCATGGGTTAGGTCGGTTTAGGTTAGTTAAGGTTAAGTAGGCCTAGGTTAGGTTGGATTAAGTTATATCCCAAGTTAGTTTGGTGAAGGAGCGGGCCGGACATTTTCGGCACTCTGTAGTTTTTTATGATTTTTCAAACCTGGGTAAATCGGCAGTTGCCGAAAAAGTGCCAGAGGGGAAAAGTCAAATGTCCTAAGTAGGCCTAGGCCTAACTTAATAGTAAAAACACGTTAAGAGTAAAAAAACTCAGATTTTTAGAATTTTAGCTATTTTTAAACGCGATTTTCAGGGTGAAATAGGCGTTTGCCCCAAAAATTCCAAATGTAAAAAGTGTTGAAAATAGGCCAAATTATGAGAAAAACATTTTTTTTTTTTCAAATTCGGTACAGGCCTCTCAATCTTAACAAATAGGTAGCCTAGCCTACTAAAATATTCGTTGCCTAGGCCTGGCTTATAGGCCTACAACACTATCGATTTCATATCGCGTGAAAACTAGCCTAGGCCTAAGTTATATCTGCTAGGCCTACAATAAGTTAGGCCTTAGTATTTAAATCAAATGAGGATTTTATCCGAAAATATAGCGTTTCATTGGTTCTCTGCGGAAACGTAGGCCTACATAGCCTAAATCTGCAACATTGTAGCATACGTTTTAAGCTTTGTGTCATGTTTAAATTGCACGCACAATCCACCACCAAACCACGGTTAGGACTAGACGACGATAGCTAACATTAAATTAAAATATTACTTATCATTCTGATGGTAGGCCAAGGATTCCAACGTCTTACTAATGGTTCATTGAAGTTAAAAGAAAATACCAGCCTAATTGTACAAAACTTTTAGAACTTCATACACAAACATGATAATCCTAACCTAACCTTGCCACAAAATCATAACAGGAACAACAAAACAAACAGTCCACAGGCCCAGCTCACGCACCACAGCACAGAGGCAACGACAACCAAACAAACAAACAAACCGATTAAATCGTCCGATCCCACTCCGAAACTGATCCACTGAAAAATTTTACGCCACACTACATTATTTTGATGAACTTTCCACTAGTGATGTGACGAGTGGAGTCGGGTACTTTCCTGACTCGAGTGACTCGACTCGCCAACTGCCGTGAACTCGAGTTACGAGTCGAGTCAGACTCAACTCGAGACGTTCCGAGTTCGTGTGAGTTCGGCATTCTCCGTACGAGTTCGTTAGTTTTGCGAGTCGGCCGACTCGGTACCGGCCAATAGCGTGTCAGCTTTACGAGTCGACTCGACTCGACTCGAGACGTTCCGAGTTCGTGTGAGTTCGGCATTCTCCGTATGAGTTCGTTAGTTTTGCGAGTCGGCCGACTCGGTACCGGCCAATAGCGTGTCAGCTTTACGAGTCGACTCGACTCGACTCGAGACGTTCCGAGTTCGTGTGAGTTCGGCATTCTCCGTACGAGTTCGTTAGTTTTGCGAGTCGGCCGACTCGGTACCGGCCAATAGCGTTGAATCTATGCGAGTTGACTCGTAAAGCTGTGACGCTATTGGCCGAAAGCGAGTGCGAGTAAACTCGAGTCAACTCGTTACGTCCCGAGTTCGTTAAGGTTCGGCTTTCTCCGTATGAGTTCGGTTTCTTGACTCGGCTTTTGCGAGTCGGACTCGTAACGTTACGAGTTCGTGTAGCTTCGGCAATCTCCGTACGAGTTCGTAAAAGAACTCGAGTTGGAATTGAGTTGACTCGACTCGGGTCTTGACTCGAGTCAACTCGACTCGCCAACTCAACTCGTCACATCACTACTTTCCACGCAAGGATTTAGTCCAGAAAACAGCTGTTTGCCGCCAGCTTATTCAAATGGGGTTTCATTGCGTAATACTGTTCTGCAATGAGTTTTACCGGACACCAATCAGCTGATTATACTGTACTAGCTGTGTACCCGTTCTACGCACGGGGATCTTATAATATTCAGTTGAAACCTTCTTATATAAAGAACAGCAGTTGGTTTGCATATTTTAAGATATGCTGGCCAAACTATTATACATAGCTTCATTTTATGTTGTTTTTTGTTGTTCCGGATCGGTATGACAATCAATAAAAGGTTAAATTACCTCTGTGTCTGCCGGTCGATCCTATAACGGTAGGCTTACTTTTATTTTTACTATCTGATCTCGTTTGCATGGCTCAATCACGTCCTGGTTGAAGTTCGTTCGCTACGCTCACTCACCTGTATGTTGGAGCTCGTTCGCTGCGCTCACTTTCCTTCAGGTTAGCTCGTTCGCTACGCTCACTTGCCTTCAGGTTAGCTCGTTCGCTACGCTCACTCGCCTCCAGGTTGCAAATTAGCTGTTGTCATAAATGTAAAAGAAATAATAGTGCTAGTGCTGCACCCTGTTGGTAATCCTTGTAACTTTAATGCTATTGAACATCACAGAACAGAACCAACTTGTTTAATTGAAACAGCTGTTAAGATTCAATAATTTCATTTCTCATAAGGTTAACATGGGCTTCCAGAAATTCCACGTCAAAAATCGACAAAAACTTGATTTTCAAGGGTTTACTGTTAAATATCTAACTGTCTCATATTCGATGAAATACGTCTAAAACCATCTCATATATGTATAGTATTTGGAAAATAAGTTTCAGGCGGGACAGTGCTATAGTTATTGAGGAGTAGTTGTAATAAAGTGCGTATTTTAGCGTTACCAAGAGAATGACAGATAGACAGACAGACAGACAGACAGACAGACAGACAGAAATTGAGATAAGGTTTGATTCGGTTTCTCTGACCTATGAAATGTAAAAATAACCAAAAAGTTCATTATTCTAAGCAATGTACAGACAAAACTCTAATTTTATTTATATAGATTTTCGTGGCAATTAGTGTTTATAAACAAAAACATAACCTCTCTCAGAGGTTATGACTAGTGAGTTTTAGTCCTTTAGTTGGTGGAAATATATAAGGATTTGTACGGATTAAGTAGTATGGCGTAAACTATCGTACGTAACTCGTCCAAAATGTGTGTACCGGACTCGTATGGTAATCCCGTACTCGACTTCGTCTCGCACGGGAACGACCACACTCGTCCGGTAAACACTTATTTTCAGGACTAGTAACGTAATATACTATTACCGCCTACCGGACACCAACCAGCTGATTATACGGGGTGATTGAAAAGTCTGGGTACGGCTTAATATTTTGAAAAATAATAAACGTAGACCTACAAAACTTGGAATCAAGTTATAAGGCATATAAATCTATCTTAACACATATCCAGTGATCCGCTACCTCCTCAGGGGGACGGCCCGCCAGGAGGCAGAAGAAAATCTTAAATGGAAGCATAGGTCAATATGCACATCAAATTAAAGGCCTTTTTTAGTAGAATACAATGCCGCAAACCGCACTTCAAAAGGTTGATCCTGCCTAAAATTACAGTTGTTCAAAGATTAATTTAATTTACATTGCTATTATACGCTTTCTCCTCAGGGGGCACAGCAGGAATCGGAAGAAAATTGTTAACCTAAGAATAGGTCGATATCACTGAGCTATAATTCTAACTGGAGGTAGCACTGAATGTCAAAGATGCGTGTCGCCAGCCGCCATGTTTGCGTGAGGTGGGTGTCATAAGAAGCCATATTATTGCTATAACTATTATTATACTTGGCTTAAAATACCTACTTTGTATGGTCGCCATTTCAAAGAAAATTATTAAAGTATTAAAAGTATTCAAGTATGACAAAAATACTCACTGCTATACCAACCTAGTTATAAGAAGCCATGTCATTGCTATGATAAGAAAACTTACTGCTATACCAACCTAACAAAATCAGCGACACGCTTTTGACAGACTTCTGCCATGGCAGTGCTACCTCCAGTTATAATTTTAGCTCAGTGGTCGATATGCACATCAAATTAAAGGTCTTCACTTTTAGATTACGATGCCGTAAATTCAAGCTCAAAAGAATGCCTGAGTAAAAAATGGCAGCCGTTCAAAGATTCAAAATGGCGGATTCAAGAAATCTATCTGCCATTTTGCGCAGGATCAACCTTTTTAAGTGCGGTTTGCGGCATTGTATTCTACTAAAAAAGACCTTTAATTTGATGTGCATATTGAACTATGCTTCCATTTAAGATTTTCTTCTGACTCCTTGTGGGACGTCCCTCTGAAGAGTTATTGGATCTATGAATATGTGTTAAAATAGAGTTTATGCCCTGTAACTTTGTACCAAGTATTTTAGCTCTATCTGCATTATTTTTTAAAATATTGAGCCGTACCCAGACTTTTCAATCACCCTGTATACTGTATTTGGCAATGAGTGAGAGTGGTTAGATTATAAAAGAAAAAGTAACACAATCTTTCTTATTAAAGGTTATGAGTAGTGATTGTTACTCCTCTAGTCGGTGGTAATATACAGGGTTAGTAAAAAGGCTGAAGACCCCCTGTTAATTTGTTAACGGTCCATACTAGAAAAACTAAACTCGGCACACCATTATGGCATGTTATGTAGTACTTTTTGGGCATAATAACCGCCACTTGGTGTACATCATCCCCAAAATGGGGGAAACTCAACAATTTCAAATAGTAAGGCCCATCGAGTAATTTTAATTGACTGCCATTTTTTACTGGATTGAGATAGAGACCTTTAGATTCCGTTTTTGGTTTTCCTTTACCAGGACCTTCAAATTGAAGGGTCCCTCGATGGGCCTTACTATTTCAAATTTTTGAGTTTTCCCCAAAATCCCCGATTTTGGGGATGTACACTAAGTGGCGTTTATGCCCAAAAAGTACTTCATAACATGCCATAAAGGTGTGCCGAGTTTATTTTTTTCTAGTATGGGCCGTTAAAAAATTAACAGGGGGACTCCAGACTTTTTACTAACCCTGTATAAGGATTTGTATGGATTTAGAAGTATGGCGTAAAATATTGTATGTCACTCGTCCAAAATGTGTTTACCGGACTCGTATGGTAAAGGTCCATAAAGTTGGCCCCCCCATTTAAGCACTAACGTCAATCAGGACAAAAAATTGAGTCAAAAATGGTACCAATCGTTAGTGCTGAAATCCCCAACGTTAGTGCTCTTTTGGTTCAAGTGTAGGCTATTAAAAAACTGTGGATGGATTTAGCCCCCCCCCCCCAGTCCAAAAAATAAAGCACTAACGTCGGAAATGGTATACCAATCGTTAGTGCTGAAATCCCCAACGTTTGTGCTCTTTTTAACAAATATTTGAGGTGAAACTTAATATATAATAGCCTATAATATTCTCTAGCTTCATGCATCATTAAAAGAATGCTATTAATCATTAATGTTGTTGCTTTCTGTCAGGGATAGTGACACTTTTGACTACTCGGCCAGTTAATTGTTGACACCTAGCCAAGTTAAGTTTATTTGTCATAGCATTGCTTTTAAGATACAGATACGTCCTTACTACAAGCTCCAGTCAATTCTAGCAAATTGTATTATTATTACTATGCATTCAAGAAGTTTACACTCTATCATTCACTGGAGTATACATTTGTTTTGCAATTACATTTTTATTACAATTTATTTGGCTTGAATTAACACAACAGCATATCAGCAATTAAAGCCTACCTTAGGTCAGTCTCCAGTGTTATTTATCTGCAAGGTAAAAAATATTTTTTAAGTGTGTAGAAATAACAGTTACTGTACTCATCAAATATAACCACATTTAATAAAAATAACGTTCAGTTCACACATGAAATCCAATTTTGGAAATATGTGAAAAAATCCAACTACTCGTTTATTACTAAATATGTTTATTTCATAGTTTAAACATCAGTTACAAACAATAACCTAATAATAATTATGAGTAGGATTAAATTAACACACCTAGTGTAACCACACCTTACTAACATATAGTCTATGTGAATCTATCAAAGACTGATAAAATGTTTTTGATTTTAACATATAATAGACATAATCCTTCCTTTTAATACAATAAACATAGCTGAATCAACGTTATAGATTTGTACTGGTACTAATATCCAATTATTTTTATCATAAAAAAAACAATAAAATAATGAAATATAAATAGTTAATTGTCTGTGAATGTATTGCAATTGTTTGATGTTATAAGCTATCTGAGATCACCCAAAATACTACATAAAGTAAAATACAAACTTAAGCAAATCATACTAATAATAGTTGTTATACTTATAGTTACATTCCATTATCAAATCAACAAACAATGATGCACTAAATTACTATAACACTTAATAAAAAAAGAAAACGAACCAGGTAGGAAATATATTTAGAACCAGCAAGATATTTCTAAAACAATTACATATTTGATGAAAAAATCTAAAACCACTAAAAAAACAACTGTTTTCTATTTAAAAGTGTAGTGTTTGTTGAAAATTGAATTACCAACAGAAAATTTTTTTTTGTTAATTAAGTACCTAAAAAAATAATTACACAACAGTACATCCATAAGCTGAACAAGTTTATAAAACTGGATAGTTTTACAATATTTACAAGCACTTATTTACTTTGTTAATTTATTGAGTTGGTTTTTTTATAGCCAGGCTTAAACAATACCTTTAACAAATTCAGTAAGAGCTTAATAAGCTTACGAACATTTTGTAGGTTTACAAAACCCTGTGCAGTACATGTGTATGCACAATGCACGGGAAAATAATCATGACTTTTAGTTGTTTGAACATAAAAAAACTCCGATATCATTGAAAAGAACTTGATACAGCTTTTGTTTTTGTAACTATAATATAATAACTATGATTCCTCAGATAATGTCGAAACAACTACAAGT